AGGTAAAGGGAAAATTTATGAACAAATTTTACCCACCGATCTTCATCTTGATACGGCGACAAGTCAGGCACACTGGTCATATCGTGTGAATGATTGGAAATCTCGGACAGTGACGGATGCCTGATGTGGTTTGCGGAGAAAAGCCCTCCAGGGCCACTTCCATGGTCTGGTGATACTGGCGTGAGCGCGGTAGATGCTGAAATTATGGTGTGACAAAATTACGATGAAAGAAAAGGATTCGATTGTTCCAGGAGAAAAGCATGAATCTGCAGATTCAGATGAACTGAAAACAGAGAAAATCGTGGAGAATTGAGCCGGCTAATTGGAGTTGATTATTCTACAATACAAAAACATTTTCACACTGGTTACGTGGGAGGAGTCATTTGGGGCCGGGGGCGGCAAGCCCGGCCAGCGGTTGGTCCACAACAGGGGTCCAGTCCTTCGTTGGTACGTTGTTTTTGGCAATAATTTTCTCACGCCCCTGATCCTCCACGGAAAGTTCATCCGACCCCTCTTACACTTTCCTTCAAAAATCACTCGAGCGGCGGGAGGGGAGGCCGCGGGCCCCCAATGACTGCCACGGGGGAGGGGGGGGGACGTATATACGCACGCTGAAACGGCAAATTTTCTCCCGCGCGCTCTCACCTCATCACATGTAATTTCGTGCTACCGAAACAAGTACGACCCCCCCCCCCCCCCCACCACAAACTTCAACAAACTACGACCCCCCCGTTGGTACTTGTAGCAACGTAGGGTTGACCCTGGTCCACAAAACTGCATCTCTGGACGCAGCCCCTTATTCTTGATCACGAGGACTGCGCCATCGACCGCAGGAGAGACGCGGAATTTTGGAAACCCATCCCCTGGCCAGGGCTCATCGCACTGGCCCTTGGTTATTGCGCCTTGCCCATGGTGCATTGTGCTATTTGCCGTTTCAATTGGATCCCATAAAAGAGAAGGTACAAGGTTCCAATGGTCCGCTCATGTCCGATCCTACGTGGGCTCAAACGAGTGGCTGAAAATTGCAAATGACTTGAAATTTTTTTCCGATTCATGCTAAGGTAAGAAAAAATTGACATGTGCAAAATGAACGAGAAGATAAGGATAACAGGAATCCGAAAAGGGAAGGTTGCCTAAACCATCTATCCAATTACCCAGCTCACAAAGGTAATCTGGGGAAAGGTGAAAGGCTGACGTGCATTCCGGACAACAAGCAAACAGAACCAGAAACCATGCAAAAGTGTGCTCAAGGACGACACAAAAGACAAGATATTTTTGTGGTTAATAGCGTTAAGGGCATCAAAATTACATCTACAAGTAACCATAATGAGTAATTGATTTCTTTGCGTAATCCTCCTTTTGGAATAGAAAACCAACTCGCCAAGCTGATAGTGGTTTTTCCTCTGCGCGACGTCTCTCCTTGAATTCAGCGAGGTAAGCAAACCAGCCCTTTTGGCGTTTCTGCTGGGGCCGTATGCTGAATGTTGGGGAGGGGATGGGGTCCCCGAGGTCGACGGACTACTTCAACTCGGTCGGTACGGTAGGAGAGTGATGACGCAAGTGGTGCAGCTAGGTCCAGCAGCTCCGCCAAAAGGGCTGGTTTGCTTACCCCAGGACTAAGGATAGGTCGCCGAGGTCAAATTTTTCCATGCGAATTGCGCGTCAGTTCGCACCCTCAGGAGGTCCGTGGGTCCCTCAACTAGGTCAGTTTCCCTTTCTTCGACCTTCATTCTAATCGTGAATTCCTCCTTTAAGCCGAAGGCGGTGCGGTTTCGATGATGTCATTGACTAACCACACCATTCAACATGCTAAAGGTCCCGGTCCACCAATCAGCTTCAACGACGTCATCAAAATCGCCCCGCCCTTCATCGTAATCACCACCTTAAAGACCATAAGCCGTGTTCTTCATATGCCACCACCACCCACAGAACGCATGCACTGTTTCCGTTTACTATGCTGAAGCATTTTTCTTAATATTTTCGTATAAAAAATCGATACGGCTTATAGATGTAATTTTGATCTTGTTCGTGCACAAATCGATTAGTAACTCTGACAAACTTTGAACAATATGCAGACTGTGCCTGTGCAGTTGAGCATCGTCCACTTGTAGGGTATTCGATATACCGGAAAAACTGTGACGAGGCGTCCCTTCAATGAGTCCAGCACGGTTGATGAAACAATGCCAAAAGGCAGGCATACTCACAAATCAAATCACGTGCAATCATGCGTTAGTTACAGTGGAGCTGCCTTCACACTTTACTTTACCCTCTTCGACACAATAGGGTACCTGTCAGGAGGCCCGTCGCGCGGCAACAAAGTAGAGCTAGCAGACTCGCAGCGCGTACTGCAATGGTTTCGCGTCAAGTTGAATAGAATGTATCATTGTACGTCCTACATCGCAAATCATGCGCTGCAACTCGTTCAACTTCCGCCTTCTTTGCCCTGCGCGATGGCCTTCTGTCGTACTCCGACTCATAGCACCGGGAAAAATTGAAATGAGTTCTAAACGACGATAAATCAAATAACCTCTAATATTTGTCAACCAATGTTAAAGCGGATGCAACAAAGATAGATTCATCGATGAAATAAACAGAAAGTTTGAAGTTGATGAATGCTGTTAAAAACACGCAATAATAGAACCCTTTTTGTTATTGCCTTATGGCAAGGTCAACATCATGGCAGTCATCGATAAACTCTGCCGCCCTCGCCTGCTAAACAATGCCGAGACTAACAGAGGATTCAGCACACAGTGCACGTCCGTGGGCGGGCGCTGCAAAGCGCGGGCGCTAACCCCCCCGCAAGAGCAATCACAACCTTACTCTCCTTTGGGGGCATTGAATACAGATATAAAAGGCTCATTTGTCCTTACAATTACCGTATCATCTGCCTTAAAGAGCAGTGCTGTAGTGTGAAAGCAGCCTGATCTAGAAATCACTCCCCACATGCTCCACAACTCAAACCTACAAGAACAGAGGTTTTTTCTGATCATTTGTGCGACTGCCCTAGAGGTTATTGTACTGAAAAAGGTAAATGAGGCGAATGACTGGCCAGTATGGGAAGAAAAGAAAACCACCAAGAAACCTTCAAATCACAAAGCCGTTGAACGTGGTGGCGGAGATCGCAGCCTCCTCATTGTCGCTCCTACTATTGTTTAGGTGGGATACGGTGAAGAGGACGCTTCGACCAATCAGAAGCCGCAATCTCCTTCCATATGATCAGCCTGCAATCTGCTTCTGAAGGTTCTCGGCAGTTTTCTTTGCTCTCCATCCATCAAAAGCCGACCAATTCACCAGGGCTACTTTTCGTGTAAAAGCGCAAAAAGACACCTAGGCAACCGCGGAATGTGTCAATGACCAGGTTAGTGGTTTTTTTTGCAGCACACGTGGCAAGGGGATTGTAAGAGAAGGGTTGGGATTTCAAACTGAAGGTAATTGGCAGGCGTGGAGTGTTAATCGATAGCGCTTCATGCGCTTCATTGTAAGTATAGAGAAAAGAGCACTACTTAAATTGTTATCATTGCTGATTGCATATACAACTACCTTTGCCTTTGATAATACGCTTAATCTGCCCTAACTCGTTTGAACCACGCAATTTAGAAAACGTGAATTCAGCAAACTACACCGAATCAGGGAATTCAAGAGCAACATAATCTTCAAGAAGAAACCCCCTCTCACTCCAAGATCTACATAGATTCAAACTCAAAGATACAGCTTCACTAGAAAGTGTTTTGGTCACAGAAAGCCTCAATTAACAGATATAACTTCGTATAATGTCCACTTCAAGTTCTATTCATACGACCGCTAACTGACAAAATTGGGCCGTGTGACAGCAAAAAGCATAGACAATCATTTAGCGAGGACTTCTGACAGATTTGTTGGAGGGTTGACCCAGGGTATATTGAAGGTAACTTGTTGAAAAAAGCACACAGTGGAGAAGCATGGCTCGATTAAAGCGCTCGTAGCGCAGTTTCCGTAATGAACTTGGAGAATTTCTACCATAGGGTACTGTTCAAGCCTCCAGCTAATCAGTGGACTCGGCCATATCTTGGAAATCTCCACGTTACTCTTCATAGAACCTCGCCATTAATGCTAATGTTATAGTGTGTCTGCCAACGAGTTTTTAAGGGTACAACTTATTATGACCTGACATGTTCGCGACCCGATCGTGTTCTCAAGGAACATTTGGCTGCCGGAAAGCCAAAAAAACGCCAACTCTAATTAAGTATTTGAAAATGAACCGAAGTGCACTAAAATCTCGCGCAGAAGAAACGCGAACCATAAAACACTCGACCATGCATCAGCAGATGAAAAAAGCTTCAGCCAAAGGGAGGGCACAGTTAGGTCAACCGCCTTTCCGGAGGTGTCCCCAAATGGGCCCCGTCCGGACGAATGAAGAACGCAGATGCGGCAAAGCGAGTCGCATCTGTGCCACGATATTAACGTGTACACTCTATTGACCTACCGCAATACCGCTACAAGTATGGCTGTGATTCGTCCTTTGCCGCATCTGCTTCTCCTTTCTTCGCCGCTGACGGCCTCCTGTGGGACACCCCTTCGCCCTCCATTCGACCGATTGGCAAGCAGCAATGAAAGCCTTATGAGCAAAAGAAACTTTGGGCCACACGGTTCTTATAGGTGAATTTTTTTAAAGGCAACCTATCCAAAGAGGAAGTGAGGTGTAACCTCAATCCAGTTTTTCCTGTAGTCCACACAGCCTAAAAAAAGAAAAACATTGTGCATTCGCCATTTTGAAGCGACACTTAATCTCCTAGCAATCCAAGAAGGCCTTTCAACGCACAAACATAAACGGTTTTCGAAAAGCAAGGGCGTACACATGGATATACTTACATCGTCTACTGCCGCTAGCTGATGGTGCTGAAATGTGATACTAATTAAGAAATTACTGTATGTTCCCACATATTTGGCCCAATGAATTAGTAGAAGCAAAACAGTAATTGTGAAGGTAAAAAACGGTGTGCAAAATTCAAGCAGTTTAACAAAATCGAATGGTCTTGAAACTCCAAAAAACACTTGCCTCCTTTCGGTTTGCTTTCATTACACGACATCATATCGCTTTTCAGACGATTCTGTGCCGTTTGTATTCGCTGTGAAATTGCTTTGAAAAATGGCTCATGAGCGTCTTTCTTTCTCAGACGATTGTAGAATGACTGTTGTACCTGAATATCGCGAGTTACGAAATTTTGACGAACTATTAGGAATGCGCCATGCATTCGGTTATGATTCTGGATCGAGACAATTAAGGTCTGTACACAGTACGCAAGCGCCAAGCATTACAAAGGTCCCCTTGAGGTCGACGACACCGTTTAATCCGCTGTTTGCTGTTATAGCTATCGTCCTATTCATATCTGACGGCACAAAATTCTCTATTCAAGGCACTGACCGTTGCATGCGTGCAGTAGAAAGGGCCCACTAATAGGGAAGCGTTGACACCGAAAAAGCCCCTGTGCCTCCGTCCGCGCATCTTGAGCCGGTAAAATCTGCACACTCTTCCCATACTTACAGGCATAGATATTTATCTGACACGAATAACCGGATCGCATTTAAAGGACGAATTCACGATGAAAAAGCAACCCATTTCAAAATTAACCTAGGGATGGTGAGTGGTACACGAAAGAAGGAAGAACCATGAGAAACGGCCCAGAACCCGAGAAATGGTACCCCTTCCTTGCCCGTTGATTCGAGCATTGATGCGACTCTCATCGCTGTGCCCTCTTCAACACTACGCTCTCTCAGCTATCTAATCACTCGCCACGTATTGAACTACGGCGAGTGATCAGATGATCGGTGGGCGGAGATCGCCGGACCCGCCAGCTTTGAGGCATGATAGGTCGCCGAGGTCAATTTTTCCATGCGAATTGCGCGTCAGTTCGCACCCTCAGGAGGTCCGTGGGTCCTCAACTAGGTCAGTCATTCCCTTTCTCGTTTTTCTGTGTGTGTTGGGGGTTGACCTTCATTCTAATCCGTGAAAGCCTCCTTAATAGTAACAAAAACTGTAAGATACCAACCTTGTATTACTCCTCTAAGAAAGCAAGCTTTATCCAAAATGAATGCTTTCAGGAAAATTCGCGACTCGCCTTTCGTTAGATTCGATAACGAGATCCAGCCCCAGCATCGTTCAAACGACATTGAATTTCGTACAGTGAACGTTCCTCCAGTCGTACCTCATACTCCTTGTCAATATGACCTGCTGCTGAAGAAAGTATATTCAAAACTTCAGAAGACGTAACTTATACTTTGGGAAGTGTACCTTTGCAGGCTAACGAGAATGACGGAAATCGCACAGACAATCGACAACCAAAGGATATCATTGCACATTGTTCTGGATTGGTAAAATATAATTTAAATGTAGTGTAGATTAACAATCAATGGCATGAAAGCATGAATAAGTTAGGACGATGTAAGCCTTTAGGCCGATGTCAGACTTTGCGAATCGCGCGATTCGCTAGCGTCTGCGGTCGCGTCGCGGCCAGTGAATCACTCAATTGGCTGGTACCGCAACGCGACCGCGGACGCTAGCGAATCGCGCGAATTCGCAAAGTCTGACATCGGCCTTGAGTTGGGCCTTGGGGGGGGGTAGTGCTGTGCAGAATGCTAAAACTCTAGCCATACCATGCAATTTTAATGGAATCTCCGGAAATCCCCGTGAAACGCGACCGTCCTCTCCACCCATTGCAACATGACCCTCAACTTTCATCACCGTGACGTTCTCTGATTATCTAGAAATACGACCCCTCCTCTAGACCAAATTCTCATATACGATAAGCTCTCGTTGAACTCAGCACAAAGGACGGTTGATCCTGGGAGGAAAAGCAAGAGCCTAGATAGGAAATATAAGGATCACTGGATCACTGTGTGAATTGATAGCACTGATAACTGTTAAAATGAGCTCCCAAGGTAAAGAGATGACGGCTAGAGAACTCGCCTTTAACTCCATCTGGAAACTCGCCCAATCGATCTGATCGTCCATGAGGTCCGAAGTATCGTTGAAGTAATTTCGCTCGAAGTTGTTCACCCTTGAAATAGCTCAATATTTTATTTGTATTTGTCAAATATTCTGATCTCTTCTAACCGAGTAAAGCAACTAATAAGCTTTATAGCGTAAACAAATCGAAGGGAAATTGCGCAAGCGCTACTGCGATAAACTGAAATCGAGTCGAGGAATGTTAGAATGTAGGAAGCCGGAGAGGATGTAATCGCTTCGAAACATGAACAGGTCACCTACCAATCGATGACTGCGAATCGAAAATCGTTTTCTCTGCAATATGATCAGCCTGCTTTACCTAGTATTATTCACAAAACCACACCAAAAGAATCGCATTCCGATCTCCTCAGTAGGAATAATGATCGATTAGGGGATCAACATGCGATTCGATAAGGTAGGGTAAAATTTAGGAATGTTACACTCTAACACCTCTGTGAAAAAAGTAGCTTTTGCGACGCCTTGAAATGATAGTTTGGCACGCATAAATTTGCAGATGCTATGAGGATGCACGTGGGCATTCGTGATGTTAGTACAAAGCAACGAAGGGCTACCGTAAGCATTTCGTGTTATGGATAGCTCTTATTGATTCAGGAAGCTTGATTTGCTGGCTGGTTGATTTGCTCAGAATCCAATAGTTCCTACTATTACCCCCTTCAAATCATGCACCAGTTAATGGTAATCAAGAATTCCCGTTGCGCGGAGAGTAAGGGGCGCCGTCACATTCAGACTTTTCTACGATTTTGAATGAGAAGTGCAGTGTATGGCGCATTCCAAAAGGCGCACTCCAAATCCAAAAAGTCTTCCAACCGGGGTCAACCCTACGCTGTTACTAGTAACAACGGGCGATGGTCGTACTGGTGAGTTTGTAGAGGGGGGTCGTACTTAGTTGAGTTTGAAGGAGGGGGGCGTACCCGTTCCAGTCTCTTGAAATTACATGTGAGTTCGAGGTGAAAGTGAAGTTCTTATGGGTAGGTAGGCTGGGTGAGTTGAAGGGCGAAGGAAAAAATTTGCCGTTTCAGGCGCGCGTGTATAGAGTTCAGAGTAGCTAGCTCCACCCCCCCCCCCCGCTCGACGGCATTTTTGGAGGAAAAAGTGGGCGGAGTTTGGTGGGTTGAGTGGTATCAGAATTAAATACTATAGAGACGATGATGGTGGTCGAGGTGTGTGGAAAAGGGGGTCGTATCAAGTCCACCTTGGGGGAGGGGGTCGTAGGGGGTCGTAAATTTTTGTTTAACCCATTCGCGACCGCGCAGGATTGCGCAATAGCAGCAGCGTCAGAAGATTTTTCTTCAATAAAATTCCGAGTGTGAGGGAGATTTCCTCTGCCCAGGGCTGGCGTAGATGAGCGAGGGTATGAAGATTCTTTCCATGGAAGAAAACTTTCCAAATTCCATTTCAAGCCCTGCAGCCACAGTAATACCATTGTCCCGAGTGAGAGCTTTGTCAGCCACCGGTGGCTGACATTGTCACGAATGGGTTAAGTAACAACGATAGGGTTGACCCTGCTTCCAACCTCGCCTGTCCCTTCCAAGTACCCCCTCCTCCCCTTCTGCCGTTACCTAGGCAAACGTGCGCTATGTAATCACGGGAACGTGGTTGGCCTCGTTGCTTGCATACTGATCAGTGACAGATCATGAGGTCCATTATCCCTCCCCCTTTCTTCTTTGGGTTCCTTAAAATTATGGAGAGTAAAGAAACCGCGATGCAGTTCCCACGGGAATCCGAATGAAACTGTGGCATTCAGCCGACGTTTTGTCCCTTATCGCTATTCATTGGACACATCGGCTTTCCGCTGATACTTACAGAGAGTTCGAAAAAAAATTCTTCCACCCATGGGTACTTCAGCCCTCCACTAAGGACGATAACGGCAGTGGCATCATCTGCAGTTCAAAGGTTCTGTCATTTTTAAGGCCGATGTCAGACTTTGCGAATCGCGCGATTCGCTAGCGTCCGCGGTCGCGTTGCGGTACCAGCCAATTGAGTGATTCACTGGCCGCGACGCGACCGCAGACGCTAGCGAATCGCGCGATTCGCAAAGTCTGACATCGGCCTAAGGCTCCCTTCTCGCTGGCCATGCTTGGCAAAATGGCAAGGAAATGGCTGTAGGCGAAAAGCGGCGCGTCGTCGCAAACCAAATTGGAGTCCGGGAAGAAACATAAGTAGATAGACAGATCCGGGGTAGAGCAACACACACGTACACACGAATAAAACTATATTACGTTGAAAAATTCCGACAAGTGAGGCTGCTCTTCTAGTCCAAATTCAAACTCTTGGAAATGCTAAATAAATTAGAATTCATTTTCGTGCGAATGTGAGAAAAACACAAACTCGCGAAAACGAAATGAACATAAGAATTAACTGAGAAAACCGCTGTGCGGTCATTGTGCGGAGATAAGTGGTAGGATTGAGACGCGAGCGGCTGCAGCGCGGCTGAGAGGTCAGGCGCCACACCAATTCGTTTCGGAACCATCCAGGAAGATAATGAATTGAGCAGATTGAACGTGACCAGTATATTTCCGATCTGCTACTTTTCCGAAAGTGGGGCTATAGTGAGTTACATGCCTGAGAAATTGAACAAATGCCCCTCCTCATTTCCCACTTCGCTCTTCCCAACTTTCAGTAGCTGGTTTCTGATAGTGTCGTTGATTCCCGTACATATGTATTCAAACTCCAGCTCACTGGGAAAGT